CCCGCGTCCCCTGCATCGGCAGGCGGACTCTCAACCACTGCGCCACCAGGGAAGCCCTCATTATCGCTTTTAATCTGTCTTTAGCTCAGCACCTGCCGGCCATTTTGGGGACCCCCCAACCTCAAGTCGGCCTCTGTCCCCTTTCCTCTGCTCTTGCCTCTCCAACTTTTCCCATTCCCCGACCTAAGCCACACCTACTTATCCAGACCCCGCCCCCTTCCGGCTCAAACTCCACCTCTCCCACTCTGACCCCACCCCTACAATCCAGGCATCTCCCCCTCCCCCCTCCCAAACCTGGCAGCTTCCAGACCAGGGGCACCTCCCCGCCCCGCCCAGCGGCCAGCCTCCACCCAGCTCACGGTCGGTGTTTTTCAGCGACTGCTTCTTCTGCGAGGGCTTGGAGATGACCTTGATGAGGCGGCTGTGGAAAGTGCCCAGCTCCCGCCCCCCTCGGAGCACTAGCCGCAGCACCAGCCGGAAGTGCTTCCTCTTGTCTGCGTCCGAGATGTACAGGGTCTTGGCGCAACCGAATTCCTACAGGGTTGGCGGAGATGGGGTCGTCTCACCCCAGCCCTCAGTCCCTGGATGAACTGACTTTCCCCAGTTATCTGACGCCCGCCCCGTCGGACGTGACATGAAGCTGCACGTCCAAGCTCTTGGGCTCACCCTCAAGGCAGAACCCCGGTCTCTCGGCATCCTCACCTATCTTTTGGCTTCTGCAGGGGAGTAAAGGAGCCCCCTGCACCAAAGAGAGAGGCAAGGATGGGAGCAAGAATCGAACCCCCTTCCCATGCACTCTCACCCTGGAGTCCGGCTGCTCTTCGAAATTCAACTTCTGCGTCTCGACAGCGCTGCCGGACGCGCCGTCCAGTCCCATGTAACCGCAGACGATGGGCCCGGTCTCCCCTGCCTGGTGGGCTGGAAAGGGACGCGAGCGGGCTCTGGAAGGACTCAAGTGTCAGGCAAGCTTAGTTCTCGCCGCCAGAGGGCGCGTTGAGACTGTGACTGAGAAGCGCCCCGCTCCCGAGCCCTACTGAGGGTCCCCTTACAGAGGGTGACGCCCGGCATCCCTGGAGTCCGCCCTCACCTTGGCCCTGCACTGGCTTCACCCTCCATCCGGGACCTGCGAGGTAGACACAGGGCGGGGGGCAGAAGAACCTGCCGAGACATGTAAGCACTGGACTCGTGTATCCATCTCCACTTGACTGTCCTGTAGGCGTCTCAAAGGTCGCAAAGACCAGACAGAATCCTTGATTCCCCCCCGACACACATCTTTCTCACCGCTCTCCCCAGGCTTCTCCATGACTGTGAACCCCATGAACACCCGAATCTTTCTTTCTTTCACATTCCTCATTCAATCCATCCGTAAGTCCTATCCGCTACCTTTAAAACATACCCAGAATCCACTGACTTCTCACCACCTCCACCGTAGTCCCTACTGCCATCGCTTTTTGCCTGGACCTAGGCATCAGCCTTCCAACTGGTCTCTCTGCTTCCACTCCTACCCGCTTCAACCTGTTTTTCACACAGCAGCCAGAATGTGTTTTTTAAAAAAAATTTTTTAGACTATGTTACTCATCTTCTTAAAATCCTCCAGCGGTTTAAATTCAAAGTCCTCACAAGATCCGGCCCCTGCTTACCTCTCCAACTTTACTTCCTGCAATGCCCACCTCTTTCTCTAATCCCAGCCACTCTGACTTCTTTTGTCCTGGAACAGGCCAAGCTAGTACTGTGTCAAGGTCTTTGTGTTTTCTGTTCCTTCTAATTGGAACACGCTTCCCCGTGATCTTCTCATGTCTGGCTCCATTTTCACATTCAAATCTTAGTTCAGATGTCACCTCCTTAAAGGGTCTTTCTACCACCTTGACCTTGCTATAGCTAAAGTACATCCTCGTTCCTCAGTTTCTATCACCTTACCTGGTTCTCCTTCCCTTCTAGCTCTCACCACAATCTGGAAGCCTCTTGTTTACTGATTTGTGAGGAGTTTATTGTCTGTCTCTCCCACACAACAGTGAAGATGCCAGGAGTGCAGGGACCATAGCTGTCTTGTTCAACTCTATGCCCGGTGCCCAGCAGTGCCAGAGAGCCTGGCACATGATAAGCACTCAGTAGGTAGTTGTGGAATGAAAGAATGAATGAATGGGTGAATGAGTGAGTGAATGGGGACTACAGATTCCCAGGGAGGTTCTGCTATAAACCAAAGTCAGGGCTGATGGTGGCTGAAGGAAAAGGCCCCTGATTGGCCAATAGCTGAGCCCTGAGTCCTCCCCAGGTTCTAAAAGACACTAAAAAGGGAGGGGCACATAGGGCAGAAGGTCGGGTCGCAGGGACCTTGGAGGGCCCCTGAGGGACCTACCGCTTCTCATTTCCATATGATTTCTGGGCCACCTTGGCATGCAGGATCTGCACCGTCTGCTCGCACTGTTGCTGTAGGCACTGGCGCACACCTTCCCTCAGGACCGTGGCGGGCTCTGGGGATGACCTGGGAGTGGGGACAGACCGGCCGCCCGCAGCAGGGAGCGTCAAGGGGCGAGGTGGCATAGCGCCCGAAGGGGGTAGGTGGAATGCAATGAATGGGAGGAAGGGACCGTTCTAGGTCTGCCCCCTCGGGGTCAAAGAGAAGAAGCCTTAGGCAAGGGATGGGACTTGGGTGCAAGCTGTGGGCTAAATATTTGGGTTGCGTGGTGCTCACTGAGGTCTGCCTGGAGCCCACCCGGGACCACCCAGGCGCCATTCCGCAGGTCTGGCTCCACGCCCATTGCAGCCTGGAGCACTGGGGAGAGGCCCCAGAGCCACAAAGGCCCCGCTTGTGCCGGTCTTGTGATGGAGGCAGAGTTTGTGAGGGCGCCTGGCTTCCCTGCACCCTGGGGGGACCCACCCCGGTGCAGTCTTGATGAGGGGGGAGCTTTTGCTGGACCCCTGGACCAGAGTGCTCTCTTGCCTACCTGCGGATGCCTGGGAAAATGGACGGGCCCCCAAACTGTGTGCCCAGGATCCTGGGGGAATATTTTCGTCTTTTCCAGGTTAAAGCAACACTCTCAGCTCCCTTTCTCCCAAGAGAAGGCGCCTGTTGCTGTCTTAGCTTTCCTTCTCCTGATTACAGGGCCTCCATCGGCCCTGTGGAGTGGTCCAGTTAGAGCCTAGGGGCCTGGTGGCGTCTCCGCCTGGGAGTTTTGATGGGTGAAGGTGATGGGCCCAAGACCTAAGTAATTGCAGAGACCGTGGAAAGGCGTCGGTGATGGCGGAATTTGAGGGACTACCAGGTGGGGCCTGGGAAGAGCAATGAACCCTGAGGCTGCTCTTCTGAACCCTTTACTCTCTTCGCAGGATCAGAGTGCGGGACCTCTCCCCACCCCTGGAGGGGACAGCGGGGGATAAGAGCCGGGCCGCGCCCTCGGAAGCGGAGCCAAGCAGCCGGCGGACGAGCCAGGCCCCGTTCCGCCCCCTGGGGCTCTCCCCGGGGAAGGGCCTCGGAGGCTTCCAACGCATTCCAGCTGCGGAGAGCGTAGCCGCCCAGCCTCCAACCGTAGCCCGATTCCGGCCCCGCAGCTGGCGTCTGCGGCTCCAGGGGTGGCGGGAGCAGGGGGCGCCGCGCTGGCCCCGCCCCAGCCCTCGGAGGAAGGGGAGTCGCTCCCTACCAGTGGGAGGGGTCGCGGCCCGCGTTCCCCCTCTCCACCCGCCAGCCCCCGGGTTAAATGCGGCCGCCGCCTCCGCTCGCTCCAGCTGCCTGGCCGTCCGCACCTTGGGCACGCTGCCCGCGCCGTTACCTGGTCCAACTGCCCGGGAGGCTCCGCCCGTCGGCTCCGCTCTGCGGCCGCGCCTCCGAGCTGTCCGGCAGGCTTAGGTGAGTCAGAGGGCCTGGGTGCGCTGAGGGGTCTGCGGGGAGCAGGCATCCAGCCAGACCAGGCGACCATATTTAAGCGCGGCTGCACCGCCTACGATGCCCCCGTCCGACCTGCTGTGCCCTTCCCCACCTATGTAGGGTCCTTTCCAAATTGAGGCCCCACCAGCACGGCCGCCAAAATGGAGAGGGGGGGACTTTTTTCCTGACCTCCTCCCTCCAGGAACCTCCCCCCCGGGTCCACCCCGCCCCCCACCCCCGCCGCTCCCCGGAACGTCCACAAAGTGTTTATTCTTCAGCCAACTCTTGAGGATTTATTCGCAGATCTCTCCTCCCTCAAGAGTCCACTTTCCCCACGCTAAGGGCATTTCTCAGAGGCACTCCCGGTTCTAGTGTCAGCTTTGTCACCTTGCCACGTTGCTGTGTGACCTGGACAAGACATTACCCTCTCTGGTCCTGCTTTCTTCCTCTGTAGAATGAGGGGTTGGAAAGGTGATGAACTTTGAGGCAAGGGCTATTTCGACTTTCTAGGATTGGGTGGAGGTGGGGTGCCAGGCGAGATGTTGGCTCAGGCCAAGAGCAAGATAAGGGGAAACTTAATCAAGGTTTGGGGGCTCAGAGGCTTCTGCAGGTAGGAACGGATGGGAGGCAGCGAAGGCCCCTTGTGCCTTTACCCTCATACTCCGCAAGGGTGCTCGCCTGCCTAGACTGTGGCCCAAGCTGGAGAAGGCATTCCACATCCTCCCACCTCCAGCTGGCACATCTGGCTTAGTCACCCTCCCACGATGGGTCCTGCCAGAGGGATTTTTGTTCCTCTACCAGGCCTGAAAGGCGAAGACGGTGAGGATCCAGGACGGGAAGGGCGCCTGTCGCTCCCTCCAGGCACCCGACCTTGCTCAGAATAGGACCATTCACGGATTGGGGAGGGGGGCGGGGCTGCGGTTGGATTAGGGTCAGCTGGCCCCCTCTGCCAAGAAACAGAAACAGAAAAATGGCTAACACAGCTTCAGCAGGGGGTGTGGGGGTGG